GGCAGTTAGACCCATTGCTCATAATGCCTCCAGTTGGTAGCATTACTCTTATGATGCACATTCATGATATCATCAATGGTCTTATACCATGTTCGGTTCAAAGTCACGGCTATAGTCTAATTCATGTATGGTGACTGGATCAGACGAGCTCCCTTCAGATGTACCAGAGATGACGTTCTGTGAAAGAAAGAGGCTATATAATGGCTCAGTATTTGCTTCTATCTATACTCAGCAGCCAATCCTCTTCCTTCACCCCAAATTTATCTACGACTTTAGCTGTTCCAATAATTGCCCACACCCAAATCCTCCCATACCATCTGTGATTTTAATCCTGATGTATTCTATTATGCAATTGTAAGGTCAAGAAAAGCCATTTTTACCTGAATTTTTCCCCACAAAGCGTTTTATTTAAATTTTTTTTGCTGTTATTCTAATTCTAATTTCACCATGTTAATTTTGTGTCTATGTATAAGCTTGGCAAAAATATCCTAAGCCTCAAGGAAACAAATAAATTTCTCGTCTAAATGTCGGTTAAAGTGGTGATAACTATTTACTCTCAGAAACAAGTGCTCAAAGCTACGTAATCGAGCAATACTTGTAGTTCACTGATCCTGGTAATTGTTTACTGCAGCAACTCGTCTCAAAATGAACGATTAATTACAAAATTAGAGGGCTTGATGAACCTTAGAGCCACTTCCTTATGAACGTTTGCCGCACTCCAAATTGGACTGCGGGTAGAGTAGTGCCGGTGGTGGTACGGCCGGGTGTAGGGGGGAATAGAAAGCTGATAAGAAGTATAAACGCAATTGTCTATGCAGCGGGTACCAAATAAATGTGTAATGCGAGGTTTTTAAGTGGTTCTTGCAAGCATGAAAATGCCCTTAAAGGTTCTGCTTCACCAGTCGTGAAGATCTTCGAGTATGCAATAATGGTTGCGAATAGCATTTTATTTAAAATAAATGAAAGTAGTGGGAAATCATGCATTAACAAACAGGTGCAGAGGTGGTCAAAATTTTGTTGCGAAGAAGGTTAAACTCCTTAATTGCTTTGGAATGGAAATTACGAAAGCGTTTTGCCTTCACACGTACAAACTCAGGCAAAAGGTGTAGTTTGGCCTTAAGCAAAGGGGACATACAGCTTTGACTAAGCCATCAACCCGTGGGAACTTTTGTCATTTTAAACAAATATAATTTCTAGCTGTTTTATTTGACGTTTTAAGTCAACTTACTATTCTTTTCAATTATTATTAGAAGTGAATGTAAAATAGGCAAACAAATTTATCTGTAAAGTAATAATTCACGGGAAATGGCCAACTAAGAATAAAAGCCAAAACGCAAGTATATTTGTCGACATCGTGAATTGTAGCATTGGCTCCCAATCACCACGGCGATGAATCAGGTTGACCACAAAAGCAGACTAATTGTGTTATTAGGCATAAAAAATTGTTTGTGTGATGGTCTTAATATTAAAAAGACTAAATTGTTTAGACCTCCTAAACAACACCATAAATTAGCCCATTAATCGGCACGATAAAAATGAAAAATAGTGGAAAACTTGACAGATTTACAAGGTTACTCTAATAGGTATAGTTCGTTTTATTCGGTAAACGCGGTAGGTCGCTGTGCTTGTGGTTAATTGAATATTCAGGGTTGGTGCCTTGACTGCTAAATGGTTGGGAAGACGGAGCAACCTGAAACAGGTGCAGAAACCCACGATGAAATACCAAAAGGACCATCTGAACAATTTAACTCGTCTTTATTGCAAAAGGCTACCCCGGAGTATCTACAGGAGCTCTTGATGGACAAAAAACAATTGCAGAGCATGCCTAACAGTTTTAAGCATGTTGAATTAATACTAGAAAAGGGTGGGTCATTTTTATATCGTGTTGTTTACTCGAGTCTAATCTGCTCCACGTGTCACGAACTCGTATATTCTTGAAATTGTAGGTTTAAACAGGTAACAATGCATCCATAGTGTGACACATTCTTGCAAGAAAAAGATACTCACTTTTTTGCCTTAACATAGTTTTATTATTCTGTTCACATTCTATTGATTAAATTAACCCGCATTTACTGAATAATACAATTATCAGCAGTCGCTATTGATTAATGGGGTATGATATTGCTAATAACGAAATTGTCTTGATTAATTTAACACACACACACTGGCTTTTTGTATGCCACAGTTTAATTCTGGAAAGTTAAATCCAATTTGTACGTTATCTTTTGGCCAATCGGGTATGATTAACTTAAACTGTAACAGCTTAACTTCATAACAGCGGGCTCGCTGAAATTCGATCTTTTTATATTTTGCCTTTAGAATGTATTTGATTTGCTCTAATGCACTACCTTCTAACACCATTAAATTGACTTTTCTTCAAACAGAAATTGCACAGGTGCGCGAACGCCTATTTCACAAAAACGGTTCCATTCAAATGAGCAATACTGATTTACCTGATCCTTCCGGTCAAATCGTAACACTTCAGAGGAAGGTGTACATACCAGTTAAGGAGAATCCAACGGTAAGAAAGTTGCTTTCTTCGTCCTACTGATTAATCAGTATAACTTTGTTGGAAGACTACTTGGGCCGCGAGGACTAACTGCAAAGCAAATGGAACAAGACTTGGGTTGTAAGATCATGGTCCGAGGAAAGGGATCCATGCGAGACAAACGAAAGGTGATTTCAAATGCCTCATTTCTGTGCAAGGCACAAAACAAAAGCAAGCACCAAGTCGTATTAACTGACCCTCGCTCCGGCATAAGTTTCCCTTTTTCGTGCTTAAATAGGAGGACCAAAATCGCGGCAAGCCTAATTGGGAGCATTTGCAAGAAGATTTGCATGTTCTGGTGAGCGTTGAAGATTACGAAAGTCGTGCCGAGTTAAGACTCCAACGCGCTGTAAATGCCATCACAATTTTCCTTGAACAAGGCCTTCGAACTGTAAGCCTAAGTTTGATGCATGCAACCAAGCTAAGTTCGCTCTGTTTTTTCTTGCCAGTAAATAATTGCTTCTTGATTATTTGTATGCGATCAGTATTTTTTTAATCTATCAACTATATCTTGTCAATTCAATCGCGTCAGCAATTGAGCAGTACTACTTATCGATTTACTATCTGTGAATAGACCAGACTAGTCATTACTGAGAGGCGGTTTAGTGACCTCTAGTTTGTTGAGCATCGGACTTTGCCTAAAACACACAACCACACACTGAACAAGGTTGAGAAGGTAGATTGTGCTAACGTGCGTGTGAGTGTGCGTGAGTGCATGCTAGCATCTCTTTCTCTTGACATCTGCGTCTCAGTAAGGCGTGCGCATCTGCCTGAGTGTGCACGTGCTTCGATTGCACCATTCTCATACTTCTATTCGTTTTCTACTGCTGCCACTGCTACTGCTACCACCGCTACTTCTGGTGCAGCCCTCATTCGGGCCTCTTTTCTCATCAGTAAAAGACTGCAGAAAAATGCCATGGCTTAGCATGAGAAATTCTCGTCTTTTAGACTCTGCCTTTTTCGCTCCACTTCTATCCACTACCGCGCAAGGACTTTCAAAGCAGTTAAAAGGCGGGAAAATCACCGAGTTTCCACACCTCTCCCTCACTCAAACAGGCTGTTAATGTACTTGTGTTTAAGCTTAAAAGAAGAAAGAAGTAAATGTGCTGACTTAACAATCTACTGCTGCATTAGATGAGCTTTAATCACAGAAAAAAAATCATTTAGTTGATCGGCTGCCAAAACTGCTACAGATCTGATCAGAAATCACTTTTCTTGAATCGATCGGTAAATCGGCTGTGAGAAAAATTAGTAAATCGGTGTCGACGTCTCCTTTTTTTCTGTATTAAACCTCGAATTATGAACGTTTTTGACGCTCAAAAAGGTCTTTCAAAGTGCTCTTTTATGTCGGCTAGAATTCCTGCTGCTGGTTCAAACAAAGACTGCCAAATTTCCTTTGTGACTAGGCAGCAAACTCAAAGTCGGCATATAATTTGATATTTAAAAGGAGCAGACGATGCGTTCAGTTAAGTGCGGCACTGCAGCCTGGTTCTGTGAGAGCGAAGGGGATAAAGACGCATCATAATTTCATTCTCATTTATCCAACTGCAGTGGATTAAGTCATGGATTTTTTTCTTCTGAAGTAACAAATATCTAAGTTAGATGAGAACTTCCACATGCATGAAGTAAAACTGACATTCTGCGCTTGATTTGATTAACCTGAAAATCTTATTATTGCAAGTAGGCATAACTCTTTTTGGCTATGCCATCACCCAAGTTAATACTTATCTTGTCAATTGGACCTCCGGTTGTAATTGAATTCCTTGAGTCCACCACACTTTGACAACGACCTAATTAAATCCAAGAGCTTGGCTACTAAGTCTAGACCACGGTTTTCGCTAAACACCGCACTCATCATGCCAAACAATTTGGAAGGGATGGATTTATGTGTGGACTAGGAAGCGGAGGACGTCGAGACGAGGCGAAAGTGGAAACAGGGCGGTGACGCAGCAACAACAAATTTAAGTTATTATTTTACCCTGGATTGAGCATCCGACTAGTAGACTAAGGTTTGACTTTTTTGGTAAAAGATCACGAAAAGTGCATAAATTTATCTTCCATCTATTTTGCATACTTTTGTAAACCAGATTTTATGAACAAATTAACAAAGATCGAAATTCTTCGCTTAGTGGAGATTATTTAAACAAAGGAATTCTATACAAAAAAATCCAGTTGATGCAAAATCTCGATTAACTCAGGTTGTCTAAACCTCCATCTCTCATGCATGCCTTTACTTCGCTGTGACACCTGGGTCACCTAACATTTGATGGTTGCCAAGTTGGCGCCAGTTTTTTTTTTTAATGCGCAGATCAAATTAGTTATAAGTAAATTGATATGCGTTTCAGTAGACAAAAAAGATATTGCTCTTGTCGAACCTCTAAAGTGCAGTAACCGTTCAACTAATCTTCCAAATATGGCGAGAACCGAGGTCTTGTCTACTTCCGAGTCACGATTTTGTGGCAGCATTTTAGGTAGACACAAATCCAACCGAGACGTAAAAAAGGCATTTTAAATTTGGACTTTCCGCCGTGGAGTTATCTGACAGCACCTGCGCTATGAAAAAGGAGGGGAAAAAGCATCTTGCGTCGGGGTTTTGTGCACTGCACCTGTAACTCCTTTTTCTTTGTGTACCCAGAGCCTTTTTAAAGCCTAACTTTAAAATAAAATTCCGACCAGAGGGAAATACAATCCCTTCCCTGCAGTTTAACTTCCGGACCTTATAAGTAGCTGGCTCAACCAGGCGGCTCAAGAGGTGAGAGACCTCAAATGTGATTCTTCTCACCGGTGTCATTGGCGCAGCAACAGCACAGTCACTTACACACGCCGGTCAGTACACGTTAAAAAGTGGGTGGTTGGGGTGCATGGCTGTGCGAGGCAGTAGTGGCCTGTTCGAACAGGTCACAAATTTCTACCTTACTCCTATACCCTCAAATCGGCTTTACAACTAGCTTAGACCAGTGCTGACATGCAAGCCGGCATTTGGTCTGTGGCTGCCTACTACCCCTCACTTTCCATGAAAAAAAATCTTGCACGTCAGTCGCTGTTTAGAAGTAGCGCCATTCGATAAAGTCTTGGGAAATTGCGCTCTTTTGCCACCTTGATGCTACTCTATCGTCTTCCCGACCTGTTCATTGCAGTTCTCGTCGAGTAAGTCATTCCACGAAATCATTCGATCCATTTGGGCAAGAGTAAAAGCGTTCATATTGTGTCAGGCACATCCCCTCTTCCTGGTGTCAGTGTGTCAATTGAGTTACTGATATAGCATTAGAGACCACTCAAAATAAAAACTTTTAGAATGCTTTAACCGAATTGTTTGCAGGCTTGAATAGTTATCGTGTGTCTTCTTTTTAGCCAGAAGATAAAGACTTGCTGAAGCAGACACAATTAATGGAGCTCGCGGTGCTAAACGGTATTTCCATTCTATGTGTGTGTGTATGTTTACTTGCGTGTGTTCCTACTGCTTAACCTCGGCGCTTTGTGTGCATCTTTGAGTGACTGTAACCCTCCTAGGTCAAACTCACGTGCACAGTCACCGGTTATTTTGAGTGCTAAAAACAATACCCTTTAAAAGCAAGGGCATCAATCTCAGTATTATTATTATTGCCAAAATTCAAAGTAACAATTCTAAGGAAAGACACATTTGACGCGAGGCAAGATGGTGTCCTTCTTCCTCATCGTCTATTCGCTCAGGTAAAAGTTGATAGGATGACAGGAAAATAAAAAGGAGTGGTGGCGGGGGAGTGCATGAACAGCATCCATTATTTCTAGTCATTTGTAGCCGTCGTTTTAAGATTTTATTTTGACATTTGTATTGCTTTAGTAATTCCCCCACAGCCTCTGCTCTCATTGGCTCTAAGGCAGTAAAATTAAGGATAGGATTTCATTCACCAAATGTTCATCCTTCTTGCCTTCTTCAAAGGGGGAGGTGGATATAACCCCGCTTTCTGTGACATTTACAAACCAAGAGGTATTAATTGTACAGACGGCAACTGACAGCTGAAGTCGTAACCTGGGTAAACACAAGCTAGTCTATTTTAGGTATTCTTAAGAGCCCCTTATTTCGCACACTTTTTCCATAATACCTCTTAATGTTTTCCATAAGTTGCTTCACTCACACTAATTCGTTTTTAACATTTCCTTACGAATTATACTAGGTGTTTAAGAGAAAAAATCTAGCAACCAACTTTCCCCATTAATCAAACTGGGACGGTGGAAGGGAGGGAGCAGGCCTCAGCCTTGTAGCCCCCGTACCGTCCTTTCCTTTTTTATTTTCTAGTAAGCAAAAGCCATAAAGTTGGAATTAAAATACACCTCTTTTTTTCTCTTAAATTATTTCTAGTACATCTTGAGGCCTGATCCGCTTTTTTTGTGATTTGCATCAATGTTTTGGTGAAATTTTATTTGATTTTGTGCTTAATAATGCTGAAAATTGAGTAATTTAGTACAAAAGAAGTACAGTCATAATGAGGTGCAAAGAATCACACCACAAGTACTTTTTTGGTACTTTTGCATTAAACTTTGGGTAGAGACAGGCGGGAAGGCTGGGAGACCCTCATCCCTCGCGATCGTGGTTGAAGATTCGTGGAGCTCCGCATCCGCCTCACCAATATGGTTGTTTTCAAACATTTTTCACTCTCGACTAAACGATCTTGTAGGAACAAATAGATGTTTCCTTTTCAACCTTTTGTCCCAGCGTATTGTAAAACTTGGTTTGATGGGATGTACTTGGGGCATTCAAACCATACGACGATTTTGAAGTTTGAAAAACGACCGGACATATTCCGATTCTAAATTGAAACACTCATCCCCGGCCCCAAAAGCTTCAACAGGAAAAGGCTTGTCAGCACGAATGAAGCATCTTTGGATAGCATGCTCCTATCGGGGGCAGTTAAAAGTGGAAAGCCGTCTTGGGACTTAGCACGCCCCAACTTTATCATGGAGCCGTGTAGCACCCTCCTCTAAGACTTTCCTGAGAAAGAAGAAAGGAGACAATGTCTATATTCGACGTACAGTAGGGCTTGGCGCTACTGGTATGGCCTGGAGGTCAGCTCACCCGTCGGAGGTGTACTAGCGGAGCGACCAAGTGGGCCCTTTACCAAAACTAAGAGTCAAACAAACAACCAACGTATTGAATGACTGCGATCCCGACCAACCACGGTAGGGACTGCTGCTAATGGACAGGAGTACGCTCATCCTGGAAGCATTTACACCACTCAAACTTTTACGCAGCTAAGTGACTGGACATCGTCTCACTGTACCTTATTGCCTCCCGCAATCCTGAATTTTTCGTTTATTAAGGACTTCTTTCAGTACCACTCAATGTTCTTTTCACGCCTTCACTGATCCTGCTGCCTTGCCCACAAGACGTAGTGGCTATAACGGGCAGTGATAGGACAGAATTTACCACTTAATTCTGCATGCAGTACTAAAAATAGAAAAAAATGAAAGTTTGACTTGAACGCCCCCTGTACACATTGATTTCGAAGAAAATGGAAACTCAGGGTGATGGCTCTTAAGCTAAACCGCAAAAACAATCATGATGCCTGACAGAGACACAAACAGAATGAGCAAATGTCGTCTACTTTGCATTCAGCCAGAAGGAGCAGATGATGTGAAAAAACAACAACTAATGGAATTGGCCATCATAAACGGTACCTATCGCGATCCTCAACATCACCATTCTCGACATCCGACTATTAGTACCACCGCCACCTCCTCTCAACACAGTTCACCTTCGCCCCTCTCTCCCAGTTTTATTTTCGACGACTTTGAGAGTGAGTTGTGTCCATATGGTCAGTTGTCTGTCTGTTGTCTTCGTCGGTGTCATCGCCTTAATTCCGCATCCTCCTGAGCATGGAAACTGCATTGATGTGGGATTTGCTTATCCCTGCATGTTGATTTGATGCATGAAATCGCGTCGGTTTGTCATGCCTCAGTTCTTCTTGAAGACGTTCTAAGGCTATGTGGTTCTTGATGGATGACGTTTGAAACCTGTAGAGTCTGACAGATATCATTCTTTGTGTTGTCCGCAGTTGCTCTTCTGCTTCAACCACCATAACGCAGTGAGTAACGAGGATCATGCGGTCATGGAGCCGAGAATGCGCATCCGTCTTTTCTTGCTGGACCTCTCAGCCGTCTATCTGTATTCCATTTTAACCGTTCGGAATGTGCAATAGACCTGGATTATTTGCGTGGTTTACTGTGTTTTCATGGAAATATCATAGCTCTATAATTGCCGTTTGGGGATTGTTCCGGTCCGATGTCCCTTCAACTGTTAATTCTCCCAATTGCAAATTAACTTTATCAACCCTCCTGTAGGTGAGTATTTGCATTCTTCCTCAAATTTTGCGTTTAATAATCAGATAGTGAACTTCGGATTGTTGTTTATTGTGATTTCACTAATTTAGCGCTTAAGACCGTTTTAAATGTCATGCTACCGAGACTGTAACCAACTTGGCGGAGATTGAAAAGGTTCGCATACTAAGACGCTCAAATACAACAGATATTGCGTAGTATCCCGAGACTTCCCTTAGGGCGAAAGAGGATATAATATTCGGACAGAATATATCTATCCAACATACAGAAGGGCTTGGGGCTACTGGCATGGCCCAAAGGCCAGCTCACCTGGCGAAGGCACAATGGCGGAGTATCTAAGTGGCCATTTTATCAAAACCGAGAGTTAAACAAACAACCAAAGTTTTGTATACCTATCCTACTCTTGGGCGTCATTCCCGGTGCGCCTCTTGATATACCTCCTCTGTCAGGCATCACATTGCGGTTGGTGCTGTAAGGAAACAGTCACGGGCTAGCCGTACCAGTCACCGAATTTCTGTGCAACTAAGGTGATAGTTGACCGCAAAGTCACTGATCCCTCTTGGCGATTCTACTGTGGGAACTGTATTGGAGGGGTGAGGGAATGTGTTGGCCATCAACCATGTCCATCGCTAAGCGTAGGAACATTGACCTAAGAGCAGAGTCATATAACAAAGAGCGGGGTGTTACATCATTCCTTGGAGCTAAAATCCCGGTTTATTCCTCCATATTTCTTCGTTCTCACTTCAGTCTTAGTAGAGAAGTGTAGGAGGTATCGGGTGCTCACATAATTGACAGCTTCATACAGGAATGGTAGATAGCTCCGTAACGAACTTTTCCAGATGATTCACGGCTAGTTTCTCCTCGATTTTTAATTGCTTTCCTGCAGACTACAGAGCTGAGGTAGCTGCCAAAATAGACGTAATTTTTAGTCCTTCCGTAACGAATCATCCCCGATTCTCCCATCCGCAGCGTATGCACTTCTATCCCAGTAAGATTTATCACCCATCAGTAGAAATTAGGATAGCTGTCCTTTAAGATCGGGTTTGCTTTCCGGTACCACAAATGTAGTGCCTCGAGACTCTCCTGAGGACGAAAGAAGACAATTCTCAGGTGGAATATATATGAACATACAAATATGTATATATGTACGACAAACAGTAGGACTTGGGGCAACTGGCATAGCCCGGAGGCCAGCCCACCTGGCGAAATTACAGTGGTAGAGCCTCTAAGGGGTCCACTGCCGAAACCGGAAGTTAAACAAACAAACAACTTACTACAATTATTCTTTGATAAGTTTTTATGTGACCTCGACAGCTGTGATCCATGCATTGTCATTTCCGGTTTGATTTGAAATAACCCATAGCAAGACTTCCTCCATTTCCTTCCAAAGTTAAATCTGCCCATTGGATAGTGAATGAAATACCTACAAGAAGTTAAAGGTGGTATTTTGGGGTAGCGAGGGAGAGAAAATGTCTTCAAATCTTACACATGCCCGTCACTGACTGTATTTCGTTTTTAATAGTCCATAGTTGGCATTTTCTTTGGTCATGTGGTCAATACACACTAACCATTCTTTTACGTCTTCCAAAATACGTCTTTAAATTTAAAACTGACATTTAATTAACAATTTTCTTTCCATTATGCCCTTCTCAAAACCGGGTGCCTGTCATTATACACTGTGGAAGGTGACAAATTTCTTGCTTGAATACAACCGAACAATGTCATGTCTTTTGCATTGTCCTATGCGTATGAATTTGTTTCTTTCACCTTAAGAGGCAGTCCGCATCAAACCTCACGATAGGTCCTCTTTTTGCCTGCGCTAACTTCTTTGAGACAAAAAACGGGGAGGGGGGGGGTATGCATTCCCTCTGAAGCATTTTTACCTTCGACGAAATACAATTCAGAGGCATTGTTTGTCAAGGGAAGTATGCGCACCAACTGACAATTGAAATACATGCAACACCTGATATCCTCTTAAAACATTCTAAAAGATGTGAGTAGAGAAACGAGCTTGTTATTAACTCCTAGAAGAGTCGGAGGTTAGTTTCATAGGAGATGGAAAGGCCGATTTGCAGGGGGGCTGGAAGCATCGCTGTAAATAGAATATTTAAACAAACTGTAGGAAATGGCTGAACACTTAAAAGTTCAATCAACTTTTAACGGTATTTTTGGTTTTCTGCTTTCCTGGCTCCTTTGAGCTCCTCACACATGACTACTATAGTTTTCCCAAAATTTTAGTCTATTTTTAATTCATGTTAATCCGTTTTAACGAACAAAACCCTCTTGCTGGTTCTTCTGCTAGTCCTCCTCGACAGAGTTTCAAAAACAAGCAAGAAGTTAAATTACAAACAAGTTTCATTTTGCCTTTTTTGGCATATTTGACTCGTTTTTTTGGTGCTTGCATGTGCACGAATATTGTGGTTCTTTGAATGCACTCTCATCCGGCTTTGCACTAACCCATACACCTATAACGAAGACAGCCACTGGCGGAATTCGACATATCTGACACTTCCGTTTCAGACAAGGAACGTCAACAGGCTCAAGTACAACAGATGACCCAACAACAGCAACACCATTTCCTGTTACAACAGCAATACCTCTCCATGCTCAGTAGTCAATCAGCAATCGCGGCAGCCGCGGCCCTGGCCCACAATCCCGCAGCTCAGCTACTGGCTCCTGCGGGGCTTCGGTTTGGTGCTCCTACGGCTTCCACTCATCCATCTACTGCTGCAGCAGCGGCGGCTGCAGCAGCTAATCCGTTGTTTTTAGGAACCAATCCCACACCAACACCTGCCACGGCATCAACACCATCTGCTGCTGTTGCAGCAATGAATTTAGCAGCTGTGGTGATGGGAGGGGTACCTGCAATCTCCCCCGTCACCTCCACTGCCACTGCTACGGCACCGATTGGCGGAGCGATATCGTCTGGTGAGTTTAGAGTAAAAATCGCTAATTCGGTGGAAGGGCGCTGATTCGATGTTGATGCTGAATATGAAGTATCTGGAAGAACTAGTGTAATGAGCTTATAACATCAAAAATATTTATTGAAGGTTCATTAGGATAACAGTCAAGTCTTACTTTTAAAGCAAAGATCGTTCACAGTGAACCGGAACTCCTGGTATTGCGAACGTATGAATAGATGATACCGCGGTGGCAATAAGCTCAGTAGCAAGTGATAAGTGTATGCTTTTACAGACACTAATAACCAGTGCGCATATCGTGACCCAGTCTAGTCCAGGCATCGGTAATCCGGATGGCAGGCAGCAGTCGTAATGTGCATGTAAATGTTTCAAACACGACGACAAATCTTCGCGTGCGGAAATCGCCCTCTGGTTACTTTTTAACCAGTGCAATAGGTGCTGTTTGGATGCAGGAGAGGATTGTGTGATAGAAGTATAGTACTCACTCCGTGAAATATAGTTTTTTTTCTGGTTAAAATATCAAAGGTTTCGCCTTCTCTTGAATGCTCCCTTGTAATTTGGGGTTTGGACGCACTATATGCGTCATATTTAACTGCCGTATGATTTGCATCACCCTTTTTTGGTTTTTATTTTGAAATTCAAACTATTTAGCTATAATTACTAAAGTGGAGCGGAAAATACTAAGTACTTAACAACTAGGTACGAAGTATAGGTGTGAAAAGAAATCCCTTAATTTTTTAACCTAATTGAATTGGGCAAACCTTCAATAATTGTGGATTAATGAAACCGTCCTTCATTCAAACTTTGCAGGTAATATCCAGTAACAGCGCAAATATAATTCTAGGAAATTCAGGAAATTACATAGTTCTAATAATATATTTCAGTGAAGCTACCGAAGTAATTCCAATGAATATGATTTTATTATTGGTACTCCAACTCTAAACCATAACCTTGAATGTATAAACTCAGCGCAAATTTAAAATAACCCCTTTAGACCTTCGAAATCACTTTGCTTTCTAGTACCCACTTGGGATTTTCAAACGGGTCTCACTGAAAACGGCAATAAAATCCGTTAATTTAACTCATTAAGTGTCAACTCAAATAACGTTTCGACCTTTGATGCCTCCAATTGTAACTACCCAAACAAGGTATTGCCTGATTGTCAGTCAATTAAATTCCGAAATTACGCAGAGTTTGGGTTCAAAAGAGAACATTTCAAAGACGAATTTAGTTTAACTATGTAACGGGGCGAAGGAAATCAGTGCTGAGGTTCATGGAACTGTTGACAAATTTTTAAACATTAGGGATTTTGAGCATCGAGTCATCGTTATTTTCACTGTCTTAATAAGAAATTTGCAAATGATACTCATCAACGGCGCAATAGCAATCCTTTTCAAAATTCTCAAAGAGGATTAGGCGTTTCTTTCTTAGAAAGTGCCCGACAACTCCAAGCCCAGATGTTCATGTTACTTAACAAACCAAAGTGCATTTTAAATGTGCAGTTGCAATTCAAGGCTTTAACTTTTTTGTCTAGGAGGAGATCACAGCCTATACTACCAATTGAGATGCCTTGCTGTGTGCCATTTTGAGTCTTCTTTGAAGCCGTAATGAGCCAGAGCAGAATAGGGAGGAGGCAGGAGGCTATTAACCTGGTCCGGAGACCCTGCCTTAGCGTTGAAGTACAATCTGCTCGCTTAGTTAAACCTCGCAACTAAACTATTAATTCACTATACTTGACCTGGAAAATTCTCCCCCTATTTCAAATAACTCAGCAGTAGAAAAATGTGTATGCTGTGCATAAGCTTATTGTTCTGAAAAATTGAAAACGACCTCCTGACTGAGAGCACGCGATTCCCCAAGTGGGAATATTATGGTTAGGGAAATAATATTTTACGTTGTGAAATAATTTGAGGCATTATCCATCGGGATGTTGCAATGGGCGTGATTCATCGGTCCTTGAGGTCCGGATTCGAGACGCATTTATGGGTTTAATATGGAATCTTTTTTTATCACGATGGTGACTTTATCTCGGGATACTTCTGCTAAGCCAAATAGCATTATGGAAATACATTTGAATGGATAAATTAAAGTGCTACAGTTTATCAAGCAAGCAATTTAATCACTGCAGATTTTTGCAACAAATTCCGACATTGTACAATGTCTTTGAGCCATGGTTCTCTTATCGAAAAGCTGGTTGTAGCAGGTGCGTAAACTTTACCAGACCTGTACAAAGTACGCAATTTGACGACCGCTAAATCTCTCAAGATCTGAGCCCATCAACAATAGTCCTGAGATATCCTTCACCTCAGGCACGGACGCCAGGAGATCTGCCATACTTTTGCACCCATTCATACAAACGCAAGAAGTACGAAAGAATAGAGTCAAATAAATATTGGTGACTTTATAAGTACTTAAGTCCCGTAATCCGGTTTGTTGAACAACCTGCGTAGATCGGGACGTTATGCTCCCTTCCTGTGACTCCAAAACCCTTTCCCACCGTCATCAGTTTCTTTCACTGCCACTTTCGACATGCTCCCATCCAGCTGTAAAAATGCAACCCACTTTTCCTATTTATACCCATGAGGGATCAAAGAGGCTGTGTCTTTCACTTCCTTCCTCCTCTAACTGTCTACCCCTCTCCACCGTGTATTCTGATAGACCAACTAGCCGCTTTGTTGGGAGTAGCCAATGGAGCGGTTTCACCAAACAGCGCTGCTAGTTCTGAGGCCTCCGGTCAATCGATGGCCGCCATAGCTGCTGGATTCCCTGGCACCTTTCCATCCCTCCTTCCGTGCACCTCTGCAAATCCTTCCAATCCTACAACTGGAACCATTATCGGTAGCTACTCCAATGCTGGTGATCTTGAAAATAACTCAGGTTTGTGCTAGTCCTGTTGCGGTTGGTGCTTTGAAGGTCATTAAGTATGGTATCCTTTATCTCATTCAACAGTTGCTTTTTGAAGACCATTGCAAGAAAAAGGGGTTTAGAAGTGGAATAGGGGAAGGTTGGTGAAATTATGAGAATTCCTACCATCATCCAAATCATGGAAGCTTATTTATGTAAAAAAATATCAGGCGTAATCTGGCGATGCATTCGCTACGGGCGTCGCCTGTCTGTGACATCAAAATTTTCTTGTTTGAATCCGGTGTCATAAATATGTGACATACGTGGTTGCACCAGATTGGGCGATTAAGTTAAAGGCAACGGAAGTTCTTGGACTGAGGGGAATAGTGCCTTATTTCTAATGTCACTGAGCAACAGCTAAACTCATGATGTAGGTCAGGCGGATTTATAGCCCAGCAAGCTAACAAAGCGTGCTTCGATCGCAGTCCCGCTTCAATCTGGTAGTTAGGGGGGAGCAATTTTATCTTGGCTTCTCCTTTTCAAATACCATTTTGTAAAACCCTTAAAATAATGAAAGTGTGAGTCAAAGTGCATTTTCGTCTGCTCATTTTCTGAGGCACGTTTCATGATTGACAAGAAAATTGCTACTTATAACAATAAGTATACCAATTTTTGGCCGCTACTGTGAGGCCATAAATAGTGGAGTAAAAGTTTGCTATGAAGAATCTAGTTTTTATTAAAGGTTCACTGAAGCTGCGAAGCACTACAGTCCCTGCCGTACGCATGCACCCTTATCTGCGACAGTAATTTGACCAGTTCAAGTTTTATCTGTAAGTCAACTTTCGCCAATATTTTTGAACCTGTAACTATAAGTTCAATTAGTAACCCTGCTTTTTATTTGAATAAGCTCAGGATTGGAGCATACTTATATTCTGTTTGCTACACTGCGTACACGCAAACGATAGTGATGAAATGACTCGAGATCATCAGCGCCCTCTACACGAAACAGTGGTTGTGGTAATCTATGTACTCCTTGCTCTTCCTTCCTTGCCTTGTACTCGTTACATTTAACTTCTGACTTATTTTTATCTCTGTTTATTTGTCCCCTTCTCTTGAATTGCTGTTTAACACGAAAAGATCTGTGATATTTGGAGATAGGTAAAACAAGTTGAAATGAATTGAAGAAAGCCAAGAAAAGCGCTGAAACATGACTATACAGTGAGGAGAACTTGGTATTTTTGTAATGGCTGTAGATGTATCATCTTACTTGCACCGACGCCAGGAACACAAGTTCTGGGTTCGAACCAAAATTTGCTATTCCATCCTCCGTCCCCCCATCCCTTCCGTCTTGCCAGTATTGACTCTATTTCTCCCTTTACTTGCAGCAAAGTAATTTAATATGTTCTTATTTTATTCAGAAGGGCTTTATCTCTCCCTTTTCATACCGTAACGATAGAACTGTCACAGGAATACCTAAAAGATGGTCAGAATGGAATATGTACTGAGCACTTATAAGTAGTCACACTGGCTTCGGGTATACCGGATAGAGAGCTCTAAATGGCTTACATTTTAGCTAGATCCTTATTAAATGGATGTTTCTTTGACTGGTTTACTACCAGAATCAAATAGCTTATCTTGAGGGTTGCTGGACGATACGCTGTTCTACTACTACGTGCCACATCTTCGATTCCTTCATATCGACAACCTTGGGATGGTGGACTTCGCAACTATGGAACTTCTGTACCCCTGTGAGACCAGTCAAGGTTGCGGTAGAGATGGAGACTCTCTATCTAACAGGTGCTTAAATTCGCTTGAACAAAGTTAAATTACATGCCAAACGGATGGCCGAATGTGCATAAGCCACTGACAAAGAGTTAATGAGGGTGCTGCCCGCACATGCGACCACCTTTAGTTTCTGTTCAGATGTCATGCTACCTCTCGGTTCGGACAGATCAGACAGGCAGTGCACAGGATGTCAAAGACGAACACGGGACAGAAACCAATTTAAACTCGACATTCAAAGTCGGCAGGCTCCAATCGCACAAGCCAGACCTAACTTGTATCAGATGCGAGTGATGAAACAAGAAGGAGAGGTACCTTAAAGGTCGACTAAAGTAGTTTCTGTGATCACTAAAGATTCGTTGTTAATGCTCAAAGCAGCAGGTGTGTAACGGAGCTTACTTATCAATTAATGAATGCGCAACTCCTGTGTAGGTATTTATAAAAGACACAATGTTCTCTAGCATAAAAGGTGTTATTGCATTTGTCGAGGTAACACAGTTTCAGCAATTAACAATGAGTACTGCATGCTTTAACGAACTTTTGAGGTCTAAAATGAAGAATGATTAATAAAAAACCAAGTCCAATTAAATGAGAGAAGTCAAATGGCTCATTATCACCTAACTGGTAAGGTGCTACTTGGTTCAAGGCCATCTCCCGCAATTCCACAAGCGTGGAAGGCAGGCGTTGCCACATCCACGACCACAACAACCTCCACCACACCTGAAAAAAAGTACAAAATCGAGCTGAAAAGATCGTTTTTGCAAAAACAGGTTTTGAAAATTGACGTCTTACCAGCAAGCGCAGCCGGCACCATACCCACAACCACCACAACATCCATTATGGCCACAGCAATCAAAAGCATACCTGCCATAGCAGCCATAGCCGGCATATGAGCTAGGAAAAGATTGGATAGGTTACTCAGCACGCAATTATGCGTTGTGAAAAAAGCTCAACTAAATTTTAGGATGATCTACTCACTTGCATCCCGTCCAACTGCAAGGATCGTAACAGCCCATGGTAGAGTGAGATGTTTTGTGGTAAGAAGAATGCCGTTTTTCCGAGTTTACAGGATCATTTATATGCTACGCTGATATTCGCTGCGTAGTCGACCTTAGTAATGCGTAGAAACACAGCGTCATGCGCGACGGAGGTGGAGAAAATGTGAGGGTGAATGCGCACTTTCGCGAGACACAAGAATATTTAATCAGGTGGCATTCGAACCCTGCTAAATATGAAATACCGTAAATTATTTTTTGGGATAAAGAAAATAAACAGAGCAGCAGTGTACGATAGAAACCAGTATGTTTATGAGGACATTTCCACCATTTTGATACATTTTGAGCATAAAATAAATGAAAACTTATTTATTATTTGCTCTAATGGACAAGTCTGTTGGCATGCTGTTGCCTTGTAACTATTTAAGTAGCGTGTTGCGTTGACAGCCAGTAGACAAAGTGGTTTTTCATGATTTTAGAGATTATCGATGTGTTACTAGCAATCTCGTCCAGCTCTGACGGAGCATTCCACTTCCTACTGTAAATTCACGAAATATTCCCTTATTTCAGTCCATTGTCTTCAAAACACTTAAGAAGATATTCGGAAAAGTTCAAATCAAACCAGGACGTTTGAGTTTTCAAAGTAGTAAATGGAGTTCAACCAAAGAAAATATTGTATTCATGCTTCATAAAAAAACACCCAACATAAAATGATTTGGGAGCAATAAATTAAGCGTTTCTGCATTCCACCTCTGCCTTTGTACCCTAAAAAACAGATTGGTTAGAGGAGGACATCTTTTACTGGATTGGTGTTATACAAGTGTACAGGAAATCAAGGCTATATAAATTTGGAGTTCGTTTTGGCCTCGAGGATTAATGGTGTCCATTTGGTTACGAGGCTCATAGGTACATTCAGCCGTGCTAATCGCTTAAAATCTATAGAAATGTTTCTTTCTAGCTACAAGTAGGACAAAAAAAGGCGTTGGAAATGGTACGTCCTTTATCAAGTGCGCTAAGTGTAGCTCCCCAAGACCTTCCTGAAGGTGAAAGAAGATATAATACTCGGAGAGAACACGTAGAGCCGACCTGCGGAAGGGCTTAGAGGGCACTGGCACGGCCCGGATGACAGGCAGCCAAGAAAGGGCACAATGGCGGAGCTCCTAAGTAGTCCGCTACCGGAACTGAGAGTTAAGCAAACGTCTAAAGCATTACAATGGGAATAGTCTGAGGTTTTAAAATGACCATACATCAACCTTCCGTTAGGATGAGGATGCATTAGGATTAATCGGCTAGAACATTTCATTCTGAAGGCACTTGACGAGGAGAGAAATTCATAATTCACTTCCTTTTTTGAGCGAAAGATTGCCTTGATGAATATAAAATGATGTTCCATTATTTCGCTCCAGTTAAATGAAACCTGCTCTCCGTAAACGGCCATGAACTTAAGCTTAAGGTCACGAAAAATGCAAAAACGCAAATTGGTTTTAACGGTCATTCTGTTGCTAGTGTTTGCCAATTTAGCTCTCTACCATAAGTATCTTCTTTCTGCCGTACCGAGTGCTCCATTCACTTATCCATTTGTTGGGGTATCCCAAAACCCGGTAGACCTCTTCCATTCCACTGCCAACAAGTTAGGCCCCCAGCCGCCCAGGATACCGCCATAGGATTAAGAATCTAAAGAGGGACTTGATTGCATTGTCATAGAAGAATAGACTAAAACATGTCAATTATGCAAGAGGCATTCCAATTGAATCGGGATCCAAAGTTTGAAAGGGATTGGTGCTATCTGGTACGGGTGTCATGGGCCAATCCAGAAACCGCTTTTAATGGCTGCAAAGAGTATCGCCCTAGTTCAGAGCTATCCACTCGTTACTGAGGTGCTCATCTGATGAACAGTAAGACATCAAAGTGATTTAAGAGCTTTGAAGATGGTTGCATGTTTTTCGGTGAAGATTTCCATCCCCACTGTAGCAGCCAGTGTTGTAACCATGCTGTCAGAGCGTGGAATGTCTGGTCCATTACCGGACGCCCGATAGATGCATAACCCTCCAGCAACTTTCACAAGAGACAAATTCGGCCTCGGTAACGATGGTTAGAATTAATACCTACTTAGGCTTCTACATTTGGTGTTTTGGTATCCCATACCCGGGCCTTCATAATGGCGGTAGCTGCAGGCGAGCCCGATCCAGGCGACGTCTATTCTGACACTTCGGGTGTATTGTCAAGCCTTGAAGTCACCAATGGCTAAATCGGGATTGCTAAAATCCCTTTTACTCTAAGCAATCATTCCAATCTCGTGTTCTCTGAGGGGACAAAAAAAATAAGGTGACTGTAAAATTTAAGGACTCGAAAGCATTCACAATGCCTTCTGTGAGCATATGGAGTCCCTTTCGCACTTCCATCAGCTGACTGGAATCCAGATTGAGAGTGACAAGGTAATGTCAACTATGAGAAGTAGCTTTGAACCATGAGGTTTGTGTCATGACTGCTTTTGGACAACTACGCCCATGAATAGTGATTGGCCTTTGAAACGTACTCGTGGAAACAATGATTAAAACTCCACTGACAAGTATGAACCCTGTATACTTTGATGCAGTCAAACGAGATGGGCTGCGTGAGCAAAGCGTATTAAAGTATCGGAAGCTGTAAACCTCAAATTCAGACCCAATCTGACTGTTACAGATTTGGTGGCCGACAGCGGAGCCAACCCGAGCATATGCCAACTGATGGAACAGAATTGCCATACCTAAAATAAAAGATTTTACCATTACGATCTTAAGTGAATCTGTTTGAACTCTCTGTAGACAGTACGAGGATAGGAAGAATGTTGGAACATTTGAACAAATGGCTCCTGTGCAATGATGAATGGGAGATAGAAGCTAAGCCAAGGGGCGTCATTAGTCTACATCTTTTATAGCCCAACTCTCAGGACCTGGGTAGGATTGCCGATATTTTTGTCTACGTTCTTAATAGTCCCATTAAGTACGGGGATGTATAAAAGTTTGCGAAATTGGGGTGTGGATTTGTAGAAATAGTATCCACCACTAACATTAGTAGCAGTAACTACTTTGACAAAAAAAATTAAGTTTGTCAAGTAGTAAAAATGTAGTCAGAATTGGGGAACAGTTTTTCGAAACCCAAAGTGGTAGACCCTTAAAGAAATGCATACTAATTGCACTCACAGTGCTCCAGAATTCAGTTAAATATATGATATCAAAACAAAATTGAAAAATCATTATTACTTAGATTTTATCGAGGCGATTTTATTTACCAATATATTTATTATTTGTTTACACTCGCACAATTTTGATGCGCTGATCAAATTTCAGGCACTGATGTGCTTTAAGCATGAGTGCAGGAAAGGAGCGTATTTTTAGATGTCGAAGGAAATTATTTTGTTTAAGGCTGCAGCGACTTTCGAAGATGCTTCGGAATTTTACAAGGGATGGAATATGGGAGTGCGCACTGGGCCGTCTGACGTACAATGCGTTAATTCACCGTGGCAAGTAGCTCTTGTCCCCACACTGACGTGCTTTAGAGACGTTTGAGACGTTGTCATGCGATCGACAGCGTATTATGTGCATGATGTGGGTCTTGCTCTCCCGACACAAGTTTACGGAGGCTGCTGAACTTATGGTTTATGCTATTCACAATTATACTCTATCGCCTTCTTGGATTTGGCGTGCTACCTATCAGATTTTCAACTGTATGAAGGCCTCCATATCTTCGGAAAAATTCAACAAGTAAGTCAGTTGGCTTAATTTGCTTTTTTTTGGCATTAACTCAGGCTTGTTTTTATACCCATTTTGTAGGGTACTTAATCAATTTCATATGACAGATGAGAATAATCGAAATTTGGAAACTCTTCTCTCTCAAATGGTGGGGGGAAATTGGAAAGCCGCCATACATAGCAGGTTGGACAATAATGTAGGTTGATTTTAAAATAGCTTGCTGTTCTAGCGTCCGTTCTTATTATTGTGCTTATTTTAGCCCTCTAGACGACTACAATCAACGGATCGCTGCCGAGAGCCTGAAAGTCTACATGTTCAACGGTTACATCGGTTGTATGAGGGTCTTGCTTACTTTGCTCTCTGGTTTCTTAACCGGGAACGTCCAGGTTTGTTGCCGAGTTCGTTAAGCAAATATACAGACTGGCCTTTCGCTCAATTAAAAGCATGCTTATTTTCTTTGCAGCTGGATCAAAATATCTAGAAAAAGCGGAATACAGACTATCTGAAGTCGAGGCATTAATAGAGTTTGGACATATTGGTGATGTTTTTCTTCTACCCTTGGTTCAGGTAACCTCATCGTTACTTTATTGCTCAATCTACTGTATTCGCTCACTATGTGTTGGATACCTTTAGTGTTTTTTCCGTGATTTGCGTATTCAGGCTTTCTGCTCCTATCTGGGAGGGAACTTAGCATAATTTTTCGTTTTTGAGGATAGTACAAAATTTATTCGTGAATTGCTTTTGGCATGTGGATCCATTATGGAACATGATTCTATATGGAAGAAGTAGAAGTCTCAGAAGTGGCTACACTTCTTCAACAGCTACAGCACCCTTAGATCATGCTTAGTTACAGCCACGGTCACAGGGAGTTTTGAAAGAATCGAGAAAGTGGTATGGACAAATGAGCGAGAGGTGATCAATGGGCGGTGAAGCTTCCAGTGCATTAATGCATTCATAGCAAATGACGATGGTTATCTAGGGGGAGTGATGTAGTCTGCTTATAATCCGTTAGAGTTAAAACACTCCGAAGCCTGTCACGCTTCATTCGTAAGAAACGTTTCTTCATCCCCTTTTTTGCTTTGTTGCTGTACTGCTAGGTTTACGACGTCTGCTCTGCATAATTTTGGTACTGACTTATGCCAAATGACTGTAGGGTAGAGGGGTTCGGTTGAATCTTGCCCCTCTATAGTATTTTAAGTGAATTAATTTCGTTCATGTTTGAGCTTGTTAATGTCTATTTACTTCCCTTTACACAGTACATTAGACTTGCAAGTGTTCTGTTGTACCGTTAAATAGGCTGAAGTATCTAGATATTTCTTTATCTATTACTTCTTTCTGCATGTTCTTTTTTGACGCAAAATTTCGATCAAGGTGTTTTTCCCTTTGCCATATGCATGCTATTACTTTATCCAATGTTCGAGGTCTGATATTTGACAGCTGAAATAGCAAGTGAGTAGTTTACGTCCTTCATCAATGCCACTTAACATCCAACGGCGGTATCCCAAATTGTTTGAAATTTGCCACTTCCTTTGTAATAATGAACTGGAAGTCCTAGCTATTTCACTAGATTCACTTCGATAAAGATTGCGCAGAAGATATCCTCCCCTTGCTGGAGAAGTACGCCTCTCTTCAACCCCATAATCCAAACACTGATCGATTTCTCGCCGAGTGGTACCTCTATGCGGCCATCGGTCACACCGTTCTTCCTCGCGACCCCAACGAATTCCGCAGGATTGTTACAAAGTCACTCACTCTTCATGGCGTGTCTATTCCACCCCTCCTCAAACATCTTGTCGCCTTTTCTCTTCGTCTGCTCCCCACTCCTGCTTCGTCAGATTCGGCTAGAGGGGACGGAAACTGGTACTTTATTATCGCGGATATTTGTCGGGCCTCTGGTAGGTCGAGTCCTTGTGCCCTTCATTCTCCTTAGGTTTCTTTACACAAGCTTTGGAAATCGCTTTCAAGTTGTTGGACCATCCCTCTTGGTGCAAGTTTGATCAGCCTTGGCTATTGTTGCAGACCTGCGTCCAAAAACTCGGTGCCACCAGTGATTTTGTATCGAAAATGTGGACGCCGCGAGCTGCGACCTGGAAACACTACATATTTAGTCATCCGGATCTATCACCTGAAGGAGTTTCTGCGAATAAGCTTCTCAAGAGTGTTCCACTTCTGGAAGGTGGCGCGTACCAGATGGGCGACTATTTTGGATGCATTCTTGAAGTAACTCCACTGAAGCATTGACCTTCATATTTTTGAGGCTCTGTAAATGTCACCCTTTTGTATAATAAAATGCCTCCTTGTAATCCGAGTTGTGGGATTCTATTTCACTTCTGGTAGGTGGGATACTTCAACATAGTTTTTCATTTTAGATCTCCTGAGATGGAAATTCTAAGCAGAATATCCGATTTTCAGGTGAATTTTGACAAAATTTTTGCCTACTTTCAGCAAGCAAGGCGTAGCATAGCTGAAGAGGAGGTAAATTCAAAGGACAAAATAGTTTCACCAACATCAACTTCACAGAATCCGAAGGGAATTTGTGTGTGGTAAGAATCTCTTCTAGTTTTATTCCGTAATTGACCTCTTTCAAGCCTCAATCGAAAGGTTTATTTCTCTCACGAATGCACCACAGCATACAAGCGTCTTCTATCGACGATTTCAGCAGAACCGGGCTCAACAAACCCAGAAGAATTGCCCCAGTTCAAGGAGTTCCAGCAACTTCATTGTCAGCTGAAAGCTGCACAGCAGGAAGCTCTTGAAGAACTTCAAGCTTGCTCACCTTGTGGTCATTTAGTTCTGCCTATTGATTTGGAGGAATCCTTCATCCGACGTATCTACCAGGAACAACTGTCTCGTGTTTTAGACGGAGTTTATAAGCCCGTTAACAGTTCCAAATTCGGGATTGGAAGGTCTTCGACAACAAAGTTGGCACATCTCATATCGTTTGGGGAAGACTGTGCACTTGACATATTTTCACTGAACCAGAGAATTCTCCCGAGATCGATGAGTACGGATTCAGTGGTGAGGGAAAAGTCTGTAGGTTTCTTTTAAACTTCTGAATAAGTTCTTAGATTGGATCCAATTGTTTAGGAATTTCCCCTGAAGCAAACATCATTGTCAGCGCAGATGTGCTAGTTCGTGTATTGGTTTACCTCAACTCCAATTCAAGATGTTTTTTCCCTGTGGATGTGGTTCCCTCCCCTTTTGGTAAGTCTTTTACCTCTGAAGACATTACATAAGGGCTGGGGACTAGTAGGATTGACGGCATGTGTGGAGCTTCATCCCACCATTCACAAAATCGTTTCATGTTTCCCGTGTATGCTCGTCTCTGTGGACCTCCTCAACGATAGATTGAAGTGAGGTCTCTCACGAAACAGGAATGTGAACTAGGGCATCTGCGATCTAAATTGTACTAGTGTATCTCGTAGATTTACTGCCCCTACTCCTTGTTGGGAGTCTGCGCTGATTCAGGAGCACACTCGTCACTTAGTACCGTATAACCTTTTCTGTGCCTCTATGTGAAATCCAAAGTCCTGGTTCGAATCTAATGCCATTCGACATTGTAAAGCAACTTTAGTTTTGAAAATTTTAATTTATGTGGCAGGATTTCTTTCCCAGATCAGAACAAACGGGTTGTCCTCTTACACAAGCCCTTTCTTGCTGAGCCGCTGCGGGATAATCGTTTGAGAGCACGAGAATGCTACATGGAGTTGTGCAAACAAGCCTTTGTGGCGTCCTCTCCATTCGCAAAGGTGGTTAATACTTTTGCTTCATTGTCTTCTAGGTGTTGAGTGAACCTTCTGGCAGGAATAGTTCCAATTTTGATGACGAAATGGAAGGTGCACTAACTATTGATCCTGTTGTTACTCAATATGTTGGAAAATGTTCATCAAATTCCAAGTACGTCTTGCTTTCATCAGGGTTGGGTAACGTCAGCTCGATCTATTGCGAGTCTTATACGTAGATCCATGTTTCGTTTATAATCCCTGACCATATCTTATTTTCTTATGATATTGTCAAGAGCACTGATGAGTTAAGTCTTGGAACAATCCAAAGACGTGGCTAATGAAGATTGCCTCTACTCCGTTAGTTCCAGCCCATCATTAAAAGATCTGCGATCAGTTCTCGAATGCTGTCATGTCGTGGAGAATGGCCAAAACTCCAGTGATATGGATGTTCTTCCAGAACCTGCTTCTCCCGAACCACTGACAGCTCCCACCTGTTCTCCTCCTCTTCTTCCCTGTCCTTCATCGCCCCAACCTGTTATCCCATTTACCCCCCTTGGTACGGGATTTATTTATTTTCCTTCTTAGGTGACCTTTTAACTTCCAGTGTCTGATCTATCTATTTTTGTCAGCGTTTTAACTAGTTATTTTATTCTGGCTGATTGTTCTGGCACTACTTCGTTCCAACTCAGGTTCTTATTACTGCGAGCAGTGTCGCGCAATGTCCATCTATGCAGTCAAGACCCGCGATTAAGAAGTTAGGTTGAAGTCCACGAAAGCATTGTTTTTGTTGGTCCTGTAGAAGCCTAGATTAGTCACAAATGCCCTAACCCATTTTCTTATTTCTGTGTTCTCTTTCAAGCGACGACGCAGGCCATGCCAGGGGACAACCGACGTTGGAACCTCTTCAAACTTGGCCAGCTAAAGATTCTAGTCTCCTCGTGTGGTGTTCAGCTATCGCCCGAGTCGTGTGCATTCGCTAAGGGCTGTCTCTTCTGGCCAAAGTGTTCTGAACTCTGGTCAGACATGTCAAAGTCAGATATTAAGGTTAGCTTTGGATTGGCAGTGCTCTTTTAATTGCCTCCATTTGTCCAGATAGTCCATCTAGAAGTTAGACCGGAATATCTTCAACCATGGGGTTGCGAACAACTGACAGAAGATGAGATATTCTTTTCCTGTCTTGGAGCTCAACTTTCCTCACCGCAGTCGCCGACTATTCTGCGATGTGAGTTTCCATTCTTTCCTTTTATTACAAGGTATCGCCGTAGTAAATGATGCTTTTAAACGACACATAGCAGTTTCGAAATTGAAAGAGCTCAATATGGCTTACACACCTAAGGGCAGTCTTATTCACAAAGACATTAACCTTCATCCGCTTCCACTGCTTTGATGTTCGTTTTGGTTTCGAAATGGGCCGATATACCCATTGTTTCCCCTCGTGTCATGATGCCATTCAGATGCTTCTAGCCTTGTCGAAACGCTCTCTCAACTTGTTGCAGTATTTTTTACCGTCCTGTACTGGCCGAATGTCAGAAGCTGTCTTGGTTTTCTAGATTGACTGCTGTGGTAGTGGTAAGTTACCAACCACCACGACTAAGAACATCGTTAACTGTTAGTCGTGCGGCTGCTCTTGAAATATTTACAGTTAGACCAACCAAATGTCTCCCTGCTGGTGACCGAGGGTACCATCTTAACGGTAGATACGGGTGGGTATTCGCGAGTTTGGGTTTTGCGCCTTCGTTCACAAGAAGCCTTGTCCATCACCTTGCACGCACCCACCACTACCATTGCCCACCAACTTGACTAACGGGACGTGTATGGACCTATGTTGGTAAATAGGGGTAGTAGTAGTACTATTTGTATTTCCACTAAGGTGCCATCTCTTTCCATAGCTGTAATCTCTATAGTCCTTTGTTCTCTTATTTTTTTAACCCATAGTTCTTGATTTGAAGTGTCCGGTTGAGTCTCTTGTGACAAAAGCTTACTTCGTTAGTATTTTCTGCTTCACATATTCACTTGAGAACTCTCATGCGTAGATGTAGTTCAAACGAGTCATTGCTAATATTTTTTAATTGCAGTGTAGAAACATCTATCAGGACACTTGTTATGAATTGATGCGTCAAAGACTCTTGTCTCACGAATTTTTATCGGTTTTTTTTATTCGACTGGTTAGTCTGCTTAACTTACCCATTTATTAAAATGTTAACGCATTTGCTGTCAAAGTCACACATATGTGACACGTGGATTTTTATCCGAGCCGGGCGTCACACACTAATAAACCGTAGTTTACATGAGTTGCATCGAGGAGCGTAGCAAAGGGATTGTTTGCGCTCAGAATAACAAAGCCGATTTTATCGGTCTGAGTTTTTTTTGCCATATTTGATCATTAGTGAGAACCTTGGGACCTACAATTTCTTATTTGTTTGTAGATGTGGCTCTCCTATTGGTTCACAGCAACATAGTTGGAACCAGTTTTGCAGTTGTGTTTCGCCTCTCAGATGGAACCCTCTTTGGGAGACTAATCTCAGATTTCTTACTCAAATTCTGTTTTGGTCATTTTTTGCTTGATCTCCTTATTTTGATACCCAACAATTCTCTCATAAAGTTTGTTTCGACTGACTTGATTGAACAATCGTCCTTTCATCATTTTCACTTCAGTGCGTGTGGAAGCTTCTACAGGTAGAGTGATCTTAGCAGAGGTTCAAACTCTGGATCAGCTACTTCAATCGAACCCTGAGTTCCGGTACGCTCCGGGGTAATTCCTTCCACTCCAATCTCGCATTCGTCTACCAATCATCCATGTCCGTTTTTTTTCCCATTTTTTAGATTTAAGACACATTTAGCTGACCTTGTGAATGTGCTTTCGCCTCTAATTCGGTAAGTGGCTGAATTATGAAGGAAGTTGCACCTTTTGAATTTCATTATTTCTCCAAAAATTTTATTTTGAACTTTAAGATATAAAACTTAGGATGGTTCATTTTTACTAATTTTATGGAACTCATCATCCAATTCTTGTTTATCGGCTGCACCGATCTATTCCAAACTGTCGGCTAAGCTAATCTACTTTGACCTCGGCCTCAGATCTCCTACTTGGCTGGCAGGTTGATAACCAAGCCTTAAATCCCGTCAGAACATATAGCTCACCAAACCATTGTACTGCTCTCAGTTCTTTGGAGTGAGTGATGGATCATTTGGGAATAGTCTGCGCTACGTCTGTGGTCACTTAACGAAAGTTAGAATGCAAAAGCCATTTCCCATAAGTTGGTCAGTCAGTCAGCAGACAGTCTCCCTCCACTGGTGAAAGAAGTGGACAAAAAATGATTGTCTTTGAACCTTGCTTTCATCTATTGTCATTTCATGTATGTGGGGCCCACTTGATTCCGCAACATTCCCTTCCTATTTAGTGTAGGTGTAGGCAAAATACTTTCCTGTCACTAACCCTAAACACTAAGTTGAAACTTAATAACAGGGTAACTACGTGGTGTAGTATTTGTCTTTGAGCGATCTGTTTTGAGAGTTACATATTTTCAGCATTTGTTTGAATTCAATAGGCCAAATTTGCCGGGGAGTTAACTTCTCTGGCTTTAGAACCGGATTAAGCTTGATTCGTCGGCAACCACAGAAAAGCAACTCTTTCAACTTTCGATTTCTGTCCTAATGTTGAATCCCTGAAACCTCGTCGAGATCTCATTGACAGGATTAACGTGGGGACACGCCATACGTACCAGTAATCACGGTAGGGTCAAAGCTGTTCAAAATGCTCTCAATACCCGAGAGTAGTGACCATCGTGGAACTCCAGCAATCCAGCCAAGTGAGCACGTGGTCCCACATTGTACCTCTAGTATACGTGCATTATCAGCATTAGAGACAGTTTTCTCGAAGCCTTCTCGTGATTACTCCGTTTGGGATCACAATAGTGTCTGTGCCCACCAGTTCATGAAGTGAAGGTATTGTGCTGAGTCTTTTATTCATTGACATTGAAGTGAAATTTATGAAGAATTGGTGTTTATCCGTAAAGGCATGGATCCTCTCGTGTTCCCAACCTGAGAAATTAAGAGGCGCAAACTCCAGTATGGATGTCTTTATTTACCGATGAGCATAACCTGAAAGGTACGCCGCGTAGGCACCTCATTGCTGGCTGGATATTGGAGACACGAGGTGGTTTCATTCCCTCGTATTCGTAGCATTTTAATTTGCCTTACCCTTAAAGTGACTAGTAGCTCGCTTAAGGTTTGTACTTGGCATTGGCCGATCAGGGGAATTAAACGAGAGCACGTGTTTTAACGGGACGTTATCGACTGTTTAGCAGTTAGATACGAAAAGGAAATTCCTGGAGAATCGAAACAAGAACGTTTCTTAGGGTTGCAGTCTTCCATGGCATATATGGGTGTTGAGTTATAAAAATACCATTTTAAGAACCTTCAAGGAATGCGCAAAAGACATTGCTTTTGACATAAGACTTTACTCTCGAGCAGATTGGAAGCTGGACAGTACCTTCTATCCTCTCACACAGCCTCCAACAAAGTGAGGTACCAGCTCTACGAACTCTTTACTGGTGAGGCCAAGGTGGAGTAAGTTCTTCCTTGTTCACTGCTTATTTATGGAGTAATGTCTTTGTCTGAGTGATAAACTTGAATCAAAAGCAACATTTGACTTACCTTAGGGGTCATTGTAAAATGCGAATCCGTATGCAAACCCACCACAGAGGGTATTCAAGTCGTACAGGGATTTTCCGAAGAATGGAAGCTGCATTTACTGTTCCACACAGAGCTCATCGCTATATTTATGCATTATTTATACTACTGTTTAGTTAGTAACTGGAAAGGAGGTTTAGTGCGGAATAATTCGTCATTACGACTGAACCATTTTGAATCTTAAAGGTACTCCTCGAGTTTCGTCCTTATTTCTTCCTAATCTTGTCTTCCACATTTGCCTCAAGGCATAAATTATCAGACAAGGTGCATAATAACCCTTCGGGGCTCTTACCTTCTTATGTAATTTAAATATGGTCCATTTTCCAGTACGCCTGCTACATCCATCGTCAATTTAAGTCGTTGCGCAACTGAGATTTTTCACAACACAAGCCTTGACTTCACCTCCACCTCCAATCCGTCTTCTGATCGTGGGGCAACTTGGCGATGGGTCAAACGCCAGCCTCTTGACCTCTCCATTCCCAGTGGGGTGGATGACGACAACCTCCTCATTCCTGCCATCGACACGGGATTCTCTGGAGCCATGGAATCTCCATCTTCGCAGGTAACGATTTCCGTCACTCCCGCAATCGGGAAGTCACCGAGGAAGAGACCATCACCACCGGACACGCCCCTCAAGACGAATGGGAATAGTTCATCCAGCATGATGGCACAGGAAAGCTTGTCCAATATGCGGCGTTCTCGGCGTTCTAAGAGATGATTTTGTGTGTTCTGGAGTACATGTGATGAATTTGTATGCATTCTAAGTAGAAGCACAGACAGTTAATGCAATGACGTTTGTGTGAATTTTCTTGTACTTCACGGGTCAGCCTTCATGTCGGTAGCAGGGGACTGCGCTCGTACCATCAACTGCGCTACCAGTTTTCAAGCACCTGCATGTACTTTTTACGAAGCCTCTTCCAGATTTGTGTTCTACGAAGACCTCTCCACCGTTCCCATTGGTTTTGGACCCAGGGTCAAGTCTTTGATTTTTGTCTTTTGTCAGCTCCGTAGCGCAAATGGTAGTCGTATCGAATCAAAAAGTATCTGGCCTTACTGTGAGGAAGTCGACAAGTTTTCTGGGACTGCTGACGCATAAAAGGTGTCAATCTCATGCGTTCCTTCGTCTACTTCATACTTTAAGTTCAAACTTCCCCGATCGATAAAACAGTCTTGGCGGGCAGAACAAAAGGCAGCGGACAATGTCCTGCTTCGAAAAGGTCCTGGCAACTAACTTTTTTAGCCATTTTTTGATCTTCTTGTCATTTCTACTGAATCTGAGCGTCATAATTCTTACCTACTACCATCTGGCCTGGGTCTACGTTCAGAGGGGAGTAGTCGTGGAGGGAGATGTCTATCAGACCAACATTAATGACTTTTACCTTTCCCGCCATCCTCGAGATTTGGTTCGCCTTATTGAAATGAGCAAGTACCTCGAGGAGAGAGTTCACATGTCGCAGCAATACGTTGATTCATTTGGTAGGTTTTCAAATGTGATTAGCAACAATTCCATGATCGGCAAATGCCGCGAGTAGGGCTTGAAGTTGCCTTTTGACACTAAACATTTATGAAGGGCTAGATGATTGAAATAGTTTCATAATGGTGCAGTATTTTTGACGTAGTCACCGGTTCTAGCTTATGGTCCGATTGTGGGCCATTGTATGAACATGATGACACTTTCCTCCTAGTCCAGGGCGTCAGTTTTCGTTGGAGCGATTCGCTGAACTGCCACAGGGCGATTCTATGCGTCGCTGTCGTTGATCTTCTCAATTTCTTAATATCACTTTTGAACGACAAAGAGCATCGGACAAATTCGAGCAGATACTACTCTACTGCTATTATGTGTATTGGCGGAAGTAAGTTGACTAATCCAGTATCAAGAACGATTTAATCTGTCAGTTGTAAAATGTAGAAAGCTTATTAGTCAGAATGGTTTACCCTCGCCATGTGTTACTCGTGATATAAATAGTCAGCCCCAGAATGTCACTACTACCGCATAGTTGATCATTTTAGTGGCACTGGACTGTATGCAAGCGGACAGCAACGTGAAAATCATCCTCCACCTGAACGAGTATTTTAATACCCTAAATCGGTATAAAATGAGAAGGAATGCCTCCAGTGTGGTGGTTGATTTTGTGGCAGTTCATCCGCCGGGCCTCTACTTTGCCGTTACTATCCTTCGAATGACTCTTAAGACCGTGCTTTTTGGCATCCTAATTGGCCAAGCAGGTAGAAGTGAATGTGCTAAGACCGCGTATTGAGTAATTTGCTTCGTTACACTGACGTTTTATTGTTAAATAATTAATGTCACCAGTGCTTCTCATGTTGCTCGCGGAACTGGTATATGCCATTTAAGGAACTTGGAATAGTAACAGGGTTAAGGGTATCAAGTTTACAGGTTTGCTCAATCAGAAATTGTAGTATACAATGATTCTGGTAGGTAATGCTACATTGAAATCAATCGCAGAAAAGAAGTCAGGGGTGAAAACGCAGTCATATGCATCCTGGAGAGTTGCAGAACTTACTTGTGGTGCACATGGGGTTGACAATATAAAATAAACCATTTTCACCCTCAGAGGTGCTAAGTAATCATTCAATGTTCATGTATCAATAACAATTTAGTTCTGAAGTAAATGCTCGAAATAAATGTTACTAAAATGAAGATTAATGTGTGATGAGTAAAAAATCCAACCAAACAGGTTTTATTGGAGCTTTCGACTAATATGGTCCCTTTGGAATCAAAGTCCTCATAGTGTTTAAGGCAATTTAAGAGCATTGTTTTTAGTTTGTTTATACCGAAACAGACCCCAAACCTCTTCATATGCGAGTTTAATTAGAAAATTATATTAGTCTTTTGGATTTCCCCGTTAAACTTGAGGTATCTAGTAAAACGCTGAAAACATAGATGATTTGCCCCGCTTTGTTTGTTTAGTCAGGCCTCCAGCTTGCGCTAGTTGTCCATTGGTACGTAGCTATTTGAGTTTTGGTACAGCATGCGGGCTGTTGCGTGATCTAGTTACACCACCAAACGGAAACTAGCGTGGTTATTTCATCACTTTACACCACCAGATCGAAAAATGAATACTTTTACGCTGTTACTTATGCTTAAAGTAGTCGCTGGTGGAGATGATTTGTACAGCAGGCTTCATGTGTCGCGCTCAGCCACTACTAAAGAATTGAAAGCAGCTTACAGACGTGAGGCGACGATATGGTATATAGATAGTAACTTTTTTATAAGTAGGCATCCTGATAAGAATCCCTCTGAAGCTGCTGAGCAGAAGTTCATTGAAGTCACTAAGGCTTATGAGGTAGATGCCTTTTGGCGATTTTACTTTCCCAGATTTTATCGGACCCTCAAAAACGAGCTAAGTATGATGCCTATGGCTTTTATGACCTCGGTGATAAGAGCTCTCCCGATGAGGTTCCATCCCCAGTTAATCCTGACCTATTCGGAAACTTTTTTGGTAGTCACTTCTTCCGTTTTGGTCATGCCCCTCAGGATGAAAACGTTGAAGTAAGCGGTTTTTGCCAGCATTGTTTATTGTTTTCTTAATTACAGGCAGTTACATTCAATGTCTATCGAGAGAAACTTCTCGTAGCCTCTCGAAGCACTCCGCTCATGCTTCTTGGAATTTCTCACTTCTGTTTTGTGTGTCGACAAATCCAACCTCTCTGGTCGAAGATTGCCAGTCGGTATTCCCACCTGGGAGTCATTTTTTGTATTGCAAACATTCAAGACGACCAAGCGTTGAGAGAGGAGCTTAATGTTCTGCATTCTCCCAGTGTTGTCGCTGTACTTGATGGCAAGGTATCCTATTTCATGCAGTCAGAATTCACCGAGGAGACAATCATCAGTTTTCTCGTCCAAGCTCTGCTTAGCACAGGTCCTTTGCGTTCTTCACCGCTACCAGGTTTGCCTAGTACAACATTGGGTACACCACTCATGAAAACAGTAAATAGTGAGGCCGAGCTGGACGCTTTCCAGATTGGTTGGTTGGAGGATAGCCGTCCGAGGGCCCTGTTCGTTAAAGCTACTTCCCGTCCGCCTCTTCGATTTTGTCTTGCCGCTTTTAGGGCGGTGGACTTCCACGCTTCGGGATTCGTGAATGCTCAGGATTCGGTGACGGAACCCATTATTCAACGGCTCAATTTGAGCAGAAGCGAGGTAAGTTTGAACTATTTTAGAAGTGGTTTAATGATCAAATTAGGTAAAGAATTTCTGGGCAATGATGTAAGTCGGACCGTCCTAGGTTGTTGGAAAATTTATCTGAATCCGCGAAGTGGGCAGTGGTGATTTAGAATGTTAAATCGGCGGGGATGTGAACTTTTCCTCAGTACGCTAGCTCGGAATCTTGTTAATTTGATTACAAAGTGGAAGATTCGGCGGTTTACATCACTACTGTTGACAGCAGTAAACAGGCGGAAAGTCCCGGATGAAAAATTTTGAATGTCAATCTGCTGGGCGCAAATTTTTGCTACCACGATCGAAAGATGTGGAGAGTAGATGGTTTAAATCATTGTGATTGGTGGAGACAGTTATTTCGTAGCGAAGTGTCCTTTGGAAGCCTATTCACTGCAAGTGTTGATTTGTCTTACTTAACCTAATGCGGGATCTCATTACTGGAGTCAAAGCCGCTGCAAATACCACTTTTAACTTGTTTAAAATCCATGAAACATGCAAGCAATGAAGAGCCATTGAATACATCCTGTGGACGCACTGATTAACAACTTGGGTACAGTAACTCCCTACTGTTGTAATTAAAAAGTATTGAAAATAGCTCATGCAATCCATCTTGACCGGACAACGGCAAGGCGATCCAGCGGATGCATCAATTTGTCAGGAGTAACTTGATTTGCATCCTTATTTCTTCAATCAAATTATGTCAAATTGTCCGCAACTACAAGTATCTTTCCCAGCTTTCTTTTTGTGCATAAGTCGCTTACTCGCCGGCAAATATTTTTAAACTTGGTGGTAACCACAGATTAAAATTAGTTGTTTTTCCTGAGTAAAATTCATGAATGCTCCCCCAAACCATGCTCGAATCATTTGAAATGAGCTGTTTTCGATATTTTTTGTTCGTTTATACTCCAATTTCAAATCTCAAACTATTTAATGAAAATGATATTGAAACTTTAAAACAATACTTTGAGAAAATCCGGCGTCAACATCTTTTCCTAATTATGATTTCCAAAGTTCAGAGTTCACAAATCGGTAATCTGGAACCGCTCGAAATATCTGGTCATATTTAAGCATTTCAAAGTCTCGCAAAATCGGTATTCAGAGTGGGTTTACAGGAGCTGGGCTTGAGGCATTGTATTCGCGGATCTCCTCAAAACTTCATGTTACAGGATGATATTGTCCCAAAAATCGATAATTTGGATATGTTTGGATTGAATTATTTCATCTCCTCCTAGGAGAGCATCGTAATATTTCATGAGTCGTCCAATGAAGCGGTTATTTGCCACTCTGCCAGCCACCTTTCACGACGCATCATTGACGATGTGCTGATGAAGAACAGTCGCCTTGCTGTGCCTCGCATTCTCAACTCCGCACGCTTCCTCGATCTCTGTCCTGCTGACGGCCATCCGCCCTCCTCTGCTTTTGCATCTGCAGCTGAAACCATCAAAGGAACTGCTCACGGTGGGCACGCAAGCCATCGACACCTCTGCCTTATCCTCCTCCTTCATCACCACCACCTTGATAGAGATCGTATGTGGTTGGATCTCTTCCGGTCTGCCCTCGTTTCGTCCACTCCTTACGCACTCACCACTCCACTAGGTCTTGCTGACCTTCCGAGAGACTTTTCACCCATCCTTTCCCCTACCTACATATTTATTGATCGACAAGCCGCGTGGATAAACAATATCACTGCATCTTCCACGTGTCCCACGTGTCTGGGATCGCTGACAGACCTCAACGGTCATCTTCTGGCCCTCTGGCGAATCTCATCGAGAGTTCTCACTTTCCGGCTTCTTCCAAGGAATGCCAGTCTTCATCCTGTGGAAACTGCCTCCTTGGAGGGATACGCTGAACGATTAAAAAAAACGTTGACCGGAATCGTTATGGATATGGTAGCAGTGGATAATTTCTTAAAATTGCATGATGTGAGGAAGGTGAGGGAGAATGTGGCCGGTTGGTCGCTGGCTTACCTGCCACAAATGGAGGCGCTTTTGGTGGATGAACTGGCCGCCCCTCTGTGGTTGCGGATCCGGCTGAAGGCTTGGAGTCTCTGTCGAACTGCGATCTCATACTTTGACGGGTAATTTCGAGGCTTTTTTTCATGATGTTTTGTAATTTTACAGCATAATAATTATTCCTATTAAACCTGGATCCTCACCGCATGGTGTTGCATGCACGTTCTTGATTAAGGATGATTGAACCGATTCATGACATTTGCGCCAGCTATTTGGAACAGTAGCACAATAAACTTGTCTCTTACTACCGTGTGCTTCTTTGTATCGCCATAGTTGTAAAGTAAGAAGCCTCGGCTTGACTCCCACACTTTGCGTATCAATGACGGAGCGAAGTCTGCATTAAATCCGTCTAGAAATGAATCGCTGATACTTATTCATGTGACAGGCAGTTTATAAGGACTCAAATAGATGGCTGGTCAACATCAAAGCGAGATTCCCTAGCATGCAAATTTTTCTTCAAAAATCGCTGCAGGACATTTTACAGCTTTAAGGAATGCTTGGCAAATGGAGTTCCTCCATTGGAGCTTGAAAATAGGTTCTGACTGGTGGATTCTCCGAAATCAACAGTATTCACAACCATGGTTGAGTTTTGAGATCTTCTTGCCTCGATGGAAAATCGTCGCGCGATATCCATTTCTGTCTCCCAAGTGATTTTGATTGACTATGACACAATTGTGAATCCTGAAGCAGAAAAGCAATCACCGAGAGTGCTGGACACAACCCTCAAAACAGGACGGGGACTACCAGTCTCTCAGCTCTTCTATGTACTAAGCGCCGACCTACTTCTTGACTCGTATTTCAGATAACGTCTTCGTGAGTAACTCGGAAGTTATGATTGGTGAATTCCAATCCTTTTGTAATATAAAATAACCAGGCCGCAGCTTGTAAAAGAGTGCACCGTGCGATTACTCGCTTGTACTTTCTTTTTACTTATGCTTTGTAGTGTGTGGACTGATCGAATGGATTTCTTTATAACCGGCAGTTTCACATTTATTCTCCTTGCAATGATTGCTGTTTACCGGGTGGGGTGGGATCTCTGGTCGGAAATTGCGCCTAACTCTTTTCATTCTTCAACTCCCCATTCTTCCTCGTTTAAGAAGGAATTCACATCGTCCAACGTTCCTTGCAAGTAAGTGTGGATTGATCTACGTCTGGTTATTCCTTATTCACCCCGCATCCATCCATTCGACTCTACCATTCCTTAAGCTGGCCGCCAGGCTCACCATTGATTCCCAATTTTTTATTTCTTGGCTTGCAGTGAGTCCATATTCCCTTTTTTGATTCCCTTCCAAGAGCATAATTGGAAAGTAGTCTGCGGCGTCAATCGAAACTTTACTCTTTCTTCATTTTTCAGTCGGGTTGATAATGATATGGAACCGAAAAACCTTCTCCTAACTCCCTCGACCTACGGTCGTCTTGTGTTGGCAGCACCCAAGAATCAATTTAGCATCCTCCTCTGCACAGACGCTTCTCCTCTTGGTCAACGTCTTACCGACCAGTTCTACCACATCTGTCGTAGCCGTGGGTGCGTCTTTCGCCCGCCTTTTCGTCACCCTTTCGATCACAGTGAATAACCTGTCCTGTCTTCTTCAGCGCCAACACAAATGTACGTCTCGTTCCAGCCTGTCTATTTTTGGATCGCTACGCTGACTGGCTAGGATGGATGCTTGAAGCGGCTACCAGGATCCCTTTCCGTTCGTTCTCTTCCTCTTCTAACACCAATCATGTGGCCTTGACATTTAACCCTGCTAACTGTCGTGGGACTGTTCTAGCTGTCAATGGGTACAGGCGATACTTTCACATATATCACCCCCTTCTGCCAGGTGCTAAATCGAAGTCTTATTCTCAGGTGAGGTGTTCAAGTTTCTTGGCCATTAAACAATTTTACCTACCCACTTGATTGTTAAATTTTGAAGATACCGTGACATTTTTTAGTGTGTTAATCGGTAAAATAAATATTTGAAGGTTAATGTATTCTAGGTAGGAAAGGTGAATAACCCTGGCTCAAAATGTTTGTGGGGTTTTCGGTGCACCTTGATGTGAATCCGATTTTTAATGGATGTGCGTTAGGAAGTCGACATTCTCGTAATCTATCCTCATCCTTCACATTTCTCTGATATTTCCCCTAGTTGTGAATATCATTTGGAAAAGGAGGTGGTTAGGCCCAAGGTTTTGCTTCCGGATAAAACATTTTTTAAAAGTGAATAGTTTGGAAAGAACTGTGGATGATAGTTATGGATGTATTAATGTTATATGTCTGAGCCCGAATCATGTTTAATTTCCACCCGGAGTCATCAAAGAGATAAACTTTGAATCGGTCGTCTTTATTACTGATCATTACGCAAAGGGTGAAGGTGTGGTTTGTGCGTACGTGAGCGCTAGCAGAATGTTGGCGACATGGAGTAGTTCCATTCTGGAGTATTTTTAAAATTCACCTTGGCTTTATTAGTGATTATTAATACATTTAACGTCCCTGTACATGATTTTGATCAATTAGGTTAGCTGAACGAGGGCACGAGTTTTGACGATACGTTCTAGATTGTTCGCCAATTCGACACCAAGAATGGGAACTTCCGGAGAACCGAAACCGATACGTTTCCTGGAGTTTCAGACAATACCAGCATTTGATGAATGAAATATGTTAAGAAATCTGCCGTTGTCGATTTTTCTTGTTAGACGGCAGGATTAGGATGTTTGGTTGTCTTACAGCTTAAATCAATGGTTATTATATTTCTCACTACTTTTCAACCTTTTAAACTTGCTGAAATTGACTACCTAGCTATTTGTTGTCTCCAACACAATCTAGGATTCGGAATATCAAATGGAAGATGAGGAGGAGGGTTACGGATTTAAACGACGTCATGCGACTCCAAATTCTTTCAAGGAGTCGCAACGCATGGCAAATTTCAGTAGACTTTTGGGTTTGAATCGCTCGTCGGACGAGGAGAGTGATTGTGAATCGTCGGAGGATTGTACAGGTGTTGTAACTCTTACAACACCGCTACTGGAACACGAAGTTCTTGCTGATCTGCCGATGTGGTTCGACCGTTTATTTGAAGGCTCGTTGCGGCGATATCATGTCCTGGAGTGGCCACGACACCTCACCCTCTCCTTGTGAATAATTTCTACTCATGAATTAAGATTTCCTCCACTTTTTTGATTGGATAACCCACCTATCTGTCTATTTAGTTATTCTCTCATTCTACTATCTTCTCTCTTGCCTGCATTCCTATCACTAGCCATTCTCCTCCCCACCCTCTATCTGCCTGTTTGCCTGCTTGTTTAACTACCTACTAATTTTGGAATCAGTATTGTGAAAATTGCATTTAGTAAATAACATAAATTTGCATTCGATTGAGGCATTTGGCTGGCGATATTTGATTGTATTGCAATGCATTGAATGAATTCCCGAGATCAAATAGTTTAAACAATTTCTAGATGGGACGTTACCCAGCTACTCTGAATTCCTACTGGTCCGTATTTTTCCTTTACTAGACAGTATGGTTGATGACTTAGAAAGGTAACTGCATGCTCTTTCAAATCTATGAAACGATATAAAATATTTGGTCATATTTGACCACTGTTGTGTTAAAAGGCAAAAAAATGAGTTGCTTCTGTCTGTCAGTAGTACTAGCAACATATTTTCTTGCAATTGGCGTACCAGAAGGTAAAATTAAATGTTTAACACTCGCAGCCGTTACTATATTAGAGATTGGATATATTCACTCATGTCACTTCATATATTCTACGATCAGAAAACCCCGCTGAAAACTTCCTTTTGTTATTTTACCACGTAGAGTTAACCCCTCCGCGTCTCTAATGAACCACTTATTGTTGTTGACCTGGATCCCATGGAACTTCCATCTGGGAAGACAATAACAAGATTCCAGACTGAGGCATTGAGTAAGCAAAAGGAGGTACGGTGAGAGCGTACATGTCCGACCTCTAGCCGGTGGAGACCGGCGAAGACGGAGTGCGAGTGTGAGTCGATTATTTTACTTACCCCCCGGCTTATAATAACCGATTTGATCTCGTCCTTTCAGTGGTTATCAGCACGCTTGAAATATATTTCTTAAACTAGGCTAAGCAGGAGGAGATGCGTGAAAGCG